TCCATTTGTTGTTTTGTTACGCAGAATATTTTGTTGAATTTCGGTGGACCTTATTTTTACTCCGTTATCAACCGACTACTTATGCCACATGTTTTATTGAATGCAAGAAACATTGGTGTGTAATAGAAGGTACAATGTTTTAACATACTGATTGATAAAAGACAATCTAAGAACAAAGGTGAACTCTTGCTTACTGAACGCAGCAACACATTCCAAAAGGAAAAAAGGAAAGTTTTTTTTAGAACAATTAAATAAATATATGCAATAAATGAAAATACATACTTTGAAAATATTAGTCTTATGTTTCGTTGCTTATAATTATTTACAACAAAGGACATCAGAATTTAAAATGCTTATAATAGAAACATAGCATACTGGAATGTGTAGCTCAACCAAGATACGATTCAGCTTAAAATGATAACATTCAATCAAAACCTGATTTAAAGAATGCAAATTTAAATATAGAAAGGCAAAGCTAACCCGAAACTCTTCTTTTGTGACATTCGCTTTTCTCACCCTTTGGCCCTTTGGGTAAACCCATTTTACTCCGAAAATTTTAAATTTCATAAACAGTTAATTAAAACTGAGATCAAACCGATTTCCCTTTTAAAGGCCATTTTCGGGGATTGTCTTTTTTATTGGGAAATTTATAAAAAACTTTTTGATTGTACATGTTATTAAAAAATTTTTTCATCCCCTTTTCTTATATGGAAAAATTTTCATAATAAAAACGGGGAAAGGCCGAAATTTATATATAAAATTAGTTCATTACTCTTTGTGGGTTTAAGCAGATCCCTTAAAAATTTTCATATTTGATTTTTTTCAATATATCTATCAAAATTTGCTATTTTTTGGGAAAACGCTCATGTTCTTCTTTCTTCAGCGCAGAGATTACACATATTTTCTTTAAATTTAAAAATTTCAATTCATCCGGGTTCTGCCCAAAAATTTTTCACTCTGGTTTTTTATCACAAAAATCTGGGCGTATATGAAACAAAATTAAGATAGTTTTAAAGGGGAATCATTTTTGCCTCAAAAATCAATTTTTTTTCTAAACTTTAAAAAGGGTCTAACATTTGTTATATTGGAAAACTGAAAGAAATACCTTTTTTTGGTCTTAAAAAATAAAAAAAAACATTTAATTCAGTTGCCAAATTGGCTTTTAAAACGCTTTTTTTTAATTTTGTTTTAATTTTTTTTAAAAAAAAAATATGATTTTATTTTATTGAATATGTTAAGGGTTACTTTACATGTTTTGTATTTTTTCGGGTTTTTTAAATTGTCCAGCTAATATTCTCTGTTGGCTGCTGGTTTGAATCTGCCCTTTAGCCATAAAACCAAACTTTTTTGTAATCAAAAACCCTCCCCAAAATTTTGAGAATACCCTGGCAGTTTACGTTCCAACCCAAAAATTTTGTTAAATTTCTATAAAAAAAATTAATCACTGATATAATCAGAAAATTTTTGGAAAATAAAGGGCTTTGTAAATGTTCCTACTTCCTTTCCGTCTGAAAATAAAAAAAAAAAAAGTCATTATACAAAATTGGGGGTTTGCAAATGTGTATTTTAAAAATTAAAACGGGAAATTTCTTCCCAAGAAATTTTCAAAAAATTTGAACAAAAAAATTTTTGTTTTTAACAAATTTCATTTTTTTAAAATTTTTAAAAAAATATTTTTTTTTCTAATGCGGGAAATGAGCCATCTTTAAATTTTTTAAAAAAACAACCCTGCAATTTGGGGAGTGGATTCGATTGCTTTGCATGTAAACTTCTTCCAAACATTTTACAGCTACGCCCAACCTTTTCTTTTAAAAACCCTTTATTTGGTAAAAGAAATTTTTAATTTTTAAAGAACATAGTTTTTTCCCAAAATCATAAACTTTTGTTTAAAGCTTTTAAACCAAAAACTTTTTGGGTTTTTTGCTAAGCAAATAAATTTAAGCCCTTTTAAATTCGGGAAACATGTTTTGGAAAATTTTTCATGTTATGTTTCACATTAACCATACTGAAATTTTACTTTTAAAAACGAATGTTATATTTCAACAAAAATTATAAAATGAAAAACTTTTTCCATTTTTTACATCCCTAAAAAAAAATTAAACGATTTTACGATCCACAAATAAATTTTCTTTATGGGGATAAAGAAAAGTTTTTTTTAAGAATAAAAAATTCCTTTTTGTCGTTTAAAATTTGTATGAGAACTTTGGTTGTTTAAAAAAAAAAATTGGGTTAAAAAGGGCATTTTGGAATTCTTATAAGGAAAAAGACTGCCATGGACTTATGCAGTTCTCGGTCCAACTCCATACTGAATCATTGTGTCAATTGTCTACATGTACATATTCTGAACAAGGTATTTTAAACTAAACAAATCCAATATTTACCATTAAATTCATTATTATGATAGCCATTATAATCAAAAAGATGCTGGAAATCAAATGGCTGATAACAACTTTATCAACCATGTGAAAATCTCTGTTGTCCTCATATCCGAAACCATCAGCCATCATTGCCGATGTTGACAGCAACGCTAACCAGAAACTTTTAAATTCATCCTGCAACAATAAATCAACACCACAACATTTGCCGAGTCCCAAAGTATCTCTGTTTAAAACATATGTAAATGTAAATTTCAAAGAGGCAGATTCTAAAAAAGCAATGGATATCAAAACGATTTCCAAATTCGGTTTTATGAAAGTAGATCAAAGTTAGAGACTCAATTGAGTCTACTAATGAGGGGAAAAAGGGGGAACACCTTTCACGCTTAGGCTTAAACAGTATTCCATCCTTAACATTGTTATCAATAATTTGATGGACAAGAAAAATATCGCCATCAGTTGTGTAAATAATTTTATATATTTTCTGCGTTCTTTTTGTTATATTTCAAGTAACCTGACAAATCACAAATTCGCAACAATACGTTACTTATAACTTATTGTCTAGAATTCAAAATTCATTCACATATCTATATAATGATTAAATTAAACAAAAAAAACCAACCTGCTTTTTGCGGGCACACAGGAACGCTAAAGTAAAAGCTATTACAAAAATAAGAACGATTGGAAATATGTTACGTATAAACGTTTTTGTGATTCTTTTCAGCATAGAAACATAAATCCCAAGCCGGTCGAATTTCTCTACATAAGATAACAGGTCGACCCATGCCAGGAAAATAGCCACTGTGCCTAGAATCCACTGCCAGGGTCTTAAAATAAAAATACATATTTATGTTTTTGTTTTTTTCGGACCCAATTTTTAAATTTCATAAGAATAAAAATTTTCGGGAAACAACCCAATTAATCTAAATAGAAAAAAGGGAAAAACTTGCTGAGGTATTAGTAGGGAAAACCCCGGGGTTTTACACACGAACACAATAAACTACACATTTTTGAAATTCTTATAAAATGATGAAAAAAAAAAAAACCCCAATGTAAAAACATTTAAATTTTTAAACCCACAAAAAGTGATAAATTTTTTTCACCTGTTTTGGAGTAAATTTCGCAAACACTCGGTGAAACCCGTGTTGTCTGACCGGTCTTTATTTTTGTATTTTTAATTTTTAAATAAAAAAATCCCTTCATTTTGTTGATCTCATCCAAATTTAAAGCGGAAAAAAATTCTTTTGAGTCATTTAGCGGAAAAAAGGGTTTTTAAAATTTCACCTCCTAAAGGGTTTTTGGGGGCCACCCCGTAAGTCGCCCAAAGGAAAAAGCAATCCCGGTTTGTTTTAAGCTGTCCACTTAATTGTTTTTGCTTTTAAAACCCCCCCAAAACCCGAAAGTCTTTTCACAATAGGGATAAATCTGGGGAATAAAAAAAGAGAAAAGTCATTTTTTGGGATGCTTTATAAATTTTTCTAGTTCTAATTTTAAAAGGGGGAAAATTTTACCTAAGGGGGTTGCTAAAAAAAAATTTTAAATATTAAAAATAGCTTTTTTAAAAATAAAATTTGACTTTTACATGATTAAATTGATTGTTTTAGACCCCAATTTTTTCCCAATTTTGGGGATCATACTTTTTTCTGATTAGTAAAAAATTACGTATTTTTAAGGGAAAAAAGGGTTTGAAAAAAATTGAAAAGTGGGGGGGAATTTACTAAATGTTTTATCGGGGCAAAAAAATTCATTTTTCAATGTAATTTCCCTTCCCTTTTCATCTAAAAATTGGTAAATAAGAATAAAAATTGGCAAGAAATTACAGATTCTTTTTTACGTAATAAAGGTTAGGGGTGACTTTCGTTTTTTTGGGGTCGTGGTCATTGCCTTTTTTTGTAGTTTTTCCAGTCGTCAAATTGTGGGTCACCCCGAAAATTAAAAGTTGTTAAAAAGGAAAAAAGGCCCGTGGGATAAATTTTGAATTCCTTTAATCCAAAAGTGGTATTTTGTGGGTTGAAATACTTTAAGTGGGTTAGAAATGTTTAAGTTTTCCCAATTTTATCCCTTTCCGTAATACGAAAAACCCTATTTAAATTTTTCGTAGTTATTTTTGGTCTTTAGTGAAAAAAGGGTTTTGGGAAAATCTTGGCCCCGTAGAAGTACAACATTTCGTCGTTAAAATTGTAGTCGAAGTAATGCCTGTAGTTGTAGTCGTGGTAGTTGTAGTCGTGGTAGTTGTAGTCGTGGTAGTTATAGTCGTGGTAGTTGTAGTCGTGGTAGTTGTAGTAGTCGTGGTAGTTGTAGTCGTGGTTGTTGTAGTCGTGGTTGTTGTAGTCGTGGTAGTTGTAGTCGTGGTCATTTTCGTCGACACACACGTACTCTTCAAAGTCATAGTCGAAGTTTTGTTGTTGTCCTATCAGAACTAAAATTGTAAGAATAACCATCTTGGTTAAAAAACAAACTTGGTTATCTCATTAAACTGAACTATGTATTCTAATATGCATCCTCTTTGTGTGTTAAGCAAGCAGTAAGCTGTATTCAGCGTACACAGATACTAGTAACACATTAGCTATATAAATCGTACATTTATGCGGCGCAACATAGGTTACCAAATGTGGTTAAACGGTTAGCTTACGAGTATGATTAACTTAATTGTTTAAATACCTCTTTCAATATCAAGATTATTGCCAGGAATATGACCACTTTTTGCAAAACAGTAATCATTGGATAGTTTCCGTATGTTTCACATGTGGCAAGCTTATGAGTGGTTGGTGATGTTGTCTTATTATATGAACTCGTATTATAACAAGAGGTCGTGCTGTTGCACTCCGTTGAGTTAATGCATATACATGTATATGTTGTTCTGCATACAGTAGACAGTATACAACCTGTTTTGTTTGAAGTTGCGGATATAGTGTCTGAATCCCTGAAGAAAAAAGACTTTAGATAAAGATAATACTAAATGTGAAATATATTTTACATGCAAAAATAAATTAATAAATAAATTAACAAATAAAAGCAAACGATGATTTCCATGAGTTATCTGATAATAAAACATCCCCAAAGGCCTACTTTTTATATGTTTGAAAGTGCATTCAATATTAAGCACTTACGATAATAATAATATTTGAATCAATAATCCTAAGTTCTTAAGTCGACTAGCTATAATTTGATATTTTAACCAATCCTCTTTGACCTAGTAAGCATATGGAAATAAAGAAATCAATGCTTTTTCTATCAACTTACTGGAAGCGCACGTATAGCTTGGCGATATCATTTACGAACGCTGTCAGTGTACCTAGAAATATCAGGTATATAATCAAGCTCATGATGTGAAACTTTTTGCCTATATGTTGCCACTTATGTTTAATCAGAGCTTTAACAAGAGGGTGATCGACAAGTTGTCTGTAAACTTCCTTTTTACCGGGATCTTTAGAGGTTTTATCTCTTTTATGTTTCAGCTGAAATCAAGATATGAAACATGGTTAATCATAGCAAAGAAACAAGCTAGGAGAGTTATAGCTGAAACTACGTGTAACATTTAATTGAATGAAGTTTACTGAGGACATCGATAAAGATCATTTAAGCGTGAAACAAACATTTCGAAATAGTTATTTTCTTAACTTGACTTATGTTCATACTGCTGCCAATGAAGTAGAGAATATGGATGGATACCTTAACCTTTCACCCCATGAGCATATTGTGAAAAATGGCCATTTCCATTGAAAAGCCAGCTGTTACAAGTTCAAACTGCTATGAAACGATAAAAAATCTTCAATACTGTAAGACATGTAAGCTTGTTATTGTTTCTGAAATATTCTATTTTTAGAATCGTTATTTATTTATTAAATAATTACTTATTGTCATTTTTTGCATTTAAGTAATGTATACGCAATATACCTATTCCAATAAGGACAGTAAAGTAATTATATTGTTTTCAGCATTCTAATAATTCACTATGTATAAACGTTCCTAAAATTGAATGTTACCTTTCTCCGAATTTCATGTTAGATTGTTGACATTTAAGGAAGCACGATTATTTCTTTATTCCTGCATTAACATGTCTGTTACTCCACAATTTTTGTAGTATCCATTATGTTTTGATGTTATAATCAGTAATTGTTCATGAAACATGCTCTAATCAATTTATTTTTGTCTAAATAATAATTCCTAAAACTTTCCCAAAATGTTCATGGAAGCTGCCATCTTTGTTTTAGGTACACGAGTAACGATATCTGTAGTTTGTTTAGAACTGAAGCATATCTGACTTTATTGTGTAACATGTATTTTGTATTATGTGATTATAATGTTTGCTTCTCAAATTGTTCAAGAGATTTACTGTAATAGTTTATTTTTGTAAAACAAGACCGCACTGTTTGTTTGGTCAGTCGCGTAGTAAAGTTGGGTTGTTGAATCACCCTAATTCTCTTTAAATTGTAATAATCCTGCTAAATTACCATAAGTATTTAATTGAGATGTATTTAATAGCATAAGTGTTATTTCTCAACATAATGATTACTTACAACTTTATATGTTTACTTTGTATTTTGTTATTATGATCTGTTGAGCTGTTTACTCATTTTAGGATGGGAATTTCTGACCGATTCTGATTTGCTTAGATAAATCCTAAGTGCATTCTCATTGGTCGGGAATCCTTTCCTAAATTCCTAAACGGCTCAAAGGTTTATAAATAGAGCGACAGTCCTCATTTTGGAACAACAACGCCCACTAAAGTTGCTTAGGCGCGATAATTCAAAACTGAGCAGAAAACATCAAAAACTGAATTTTAGTAAGTTTCTATTTAGGAAAGACTCCTAAATCACATTGGAATATGTATTAAACTTTTATTAAGCAACTTTTCCTGAATGAGAGCTGACGTTCTTCATGCTGTAACTTTTAATCCTAAATTAAACAAATATTAGACCAAAGAATCCGAACTTGATAAAAGCGTTGTTGACTTATATTTTAGGAAATCATCAAACCACTTAACATAGCGCCTTATGAAATGATGCTGAAACCTATTTCTGTATATTGATGATAAGATATAATTAAATGTTAGTATATATATGCAGTTTATGTATACAAAATTGATGTATACACTATTAAACCAAAGAATTGAAACTTGATGAAAGCGTTGTATTATTTTTCCGGAAATCCTAAAGAAAAGAGTCTACTAATATAACATTGAAACCGGGTGCTGTATATTACTGATGCTAAGTTAGCATATATGTTTATACAGTAGAACTTGTGGCGTATTTTTGAAACAGCTATCCTGACACTGCGGAAAAAGTACGTTACAATACTGATGAAACTTGACACAAATGTTCACTGGACCATGGCCTCTGTAACAGCATGCTCAATCAGAAATTTCCTGTTACCATGGCAACGGGGAACGTCTCAAAATTGCGAAAAATTACTATTTTGCATTGTTTTTACCCCCATCAAAACTGATTTCAAAGTGCTTCAACTTCTGAATGAATTGAGATAGAGTAAAAGGCTTTGCAGCATCGGTTACTAGTTACCCTGAGATCGACCTGAGGCCATTTTTAGCCTGTAACATGTCCAAAACTTTCTTGACGATGAGGGGGACTACCGCCCCCTTCAACACCCCAAAACAGAAGGGGCGCATCCCTCTTCTGGCAACCCCCTTATGTACCATTTTGATGGGGGCGGCGACGAAAAGTGGTCACTTTTTTAACAACATTTTTCAAACGAAAAACAGTGTTTGGGGCCTAAATAGGGCATATATTCACTGTTAGAGGCCTCAAAAGGGGGCAAAAAGCCATCAAAACACGTTTATATGAGGTAAAACGTTAAAGATCGTAAAAAATGAAAATCTTGCAAATTTGGTTTCATTGACTCTGTTCATGGAAAAAAGTGGTAAGTGGAAACTGCCATCAATTCTTTCAATCACCGGTTAAAGAAAGATTCAATATCAAAATATAATTTTTTAAGTTTTGAATTATAAACATCCGCAGATGTGTTTAATTAAACGACGGGGATCATTGAAACTTTGAAGATGGTTCGTTTGTGCCAACGACAAGCGGTATATGACTGAAGTAAAAACATGCGTATGTCCGAAACGAGCTGAACAAAATGAAATTTTGAAATTTGATCATTCACCGTGTATATCCAGTAACGCAGGAATGTGCAAATAACGCAGGAATTGTGCAAAGGTAACGCAGATTTGTGCAATTTAGTGGCTGAAACGAGCACAGCGATAAGTAAATTGACCAATATTTTTATTGTACACCAAATTGGAAGAAATAAATTAGCGCATACGGTTGCTGAGACATTATAATTTAAACCTCATCAAAAATATTTTCATGAAAATGTTTATTTTTCAAGATCATTCATGAAAATGAAGACCTGACTAGCTGCAGAGCTAGCGTATTGATGGCGATTTTTAGTTTAGTTGATATTTTTAAATACAATAACATATTACTTTATCATTTTTTTTATATCCGCTCTACCTGAGACATTTTCCAATCTACTCGAGTCATATTACACTTAATTTAGCAGATAAAACGTAATTGAGACCATTTTTACGAGGTGACGCTGAATTCGTGAAAGCAGCACTGAACCAACAATGGTTATCTCATTAAAAGCAACTTAATCTTATTTCACCAGCCTCCTTCTATTGTTATACGACGCTTGTAGTTTGGCAAATGTCTTAGGTATACAGACTATGAAAAAATAATGATTTAAATATGTTAAATGAACATATTTATTTGACGAAACACAAAAATCACCTTCAAAACGGTAATCAGGTTGTCTTTCTCACGAATGATCTAAAGAAGTAAACATATTCCTGAACATTTTATTAATGCTGGTTAAAGTATAATGTCGCAGCAGCCGTATGCACTGATTCATTTCTTTGAATTTGATTTAGAATAAACTATTTTGGTTCGTTTACTTACTGTGTTATTCGTTTTGGCAATACCGTCGCACAGATTCGGCGTTACTTTTCCGTTATTTGCACATTCCTGCGTTACTGAATATGCACGGTGTAATTATGTCTACAGACTACACTGAAGAAAAAAACCTCAGATACTTTTGTACATAGAAGATCATGAAAAATTTAGTTGTCCCAAATATAAAAGAAAGAGGGAAGAAAATGAGTAGTGAAAGTGACAACAACAGTAAAAAATACAAGTTTTAATTGTCCACACGAATTTACGTAAGTTTAAGTATTTATTTTGTAAATTCAGAAATTAAAGTGGGTTTACAACAGTTATTTAGCAGTCACTGATGTTTCACATCCACCATTCCCGAAACAAGTATGACATGTTATTCTTTGTGACCTATATTCACCTATTCAAGATCATGAAAAGAATGGCAAACATCAATATCTACAATTTTCTGTTTCATTGAGTAACCTGCTTTTGTAGCTTGGTTGTGTAGCATGCGGCATTGTTTGAACGTCGCCTTGCTTTGTTGATCTTCGTCCTCATTTTCTTTGACTACCATTACATTTGCAAAATACATGTACGTATTTTCCAAATTATTAAATTATTTAACTTTTATTTCACTTTAATATCTACTTTTTTAGCACGTTATAGAGTATTTTTCTTACCATTAACATAACAGGATGGTTGTTTCTTATTTGCGACAAATGTTTTGTGTAGGCATCACGAATCTTCCTTTCTGTGGAAATATAAATTTTCTCTCTATTTCACTATATCACATTTAATTAAAATCTATAATATAAATAACTTCCGCAGTTTGTTACCATGACCGATAACACATCGGGATAAAATGTGGTAATGTGTTCTTTAATCATTAAACTGATATGATGTATTTTGCGAAATACAAGTGACATATATGGTGGCTGATTTGATCCATGTCTTATTTTAATTACGTAAGGCGTCGGACGAAACACAAAAATACGACAAAGTCAACATCGTGTCGTACTTTCGCTATACCAAAATTCAATAAAACGACACAGTCGCAATTTTGTCTTACATATACTCCGGAGGACGTAAGGCGAAAACATGTGTTTTTGCGTTGCGCCAAGCGAAGCGAAAATACGACATGGCACAAATGACACGACCCGCTTTGTGAAATTGAAAGTGTGTGTTATTATGCATTAAAATCACTGTTGACATTTTATATTTAGACATGTGACGTAACCACTAAAAGTGTGATGCGCTGAAAATAAGTACGAAACAATCAGGCGCAATTAGCTAAATATCAGGTATGGCAGCATTTATTTGTTAATGTCGCGTTAGAATCAAAATACACATGTTGACTTATGAACATTCGTTCAATTCGTTATGTCGTTCGGATGCGCATCATTATATCACTCGGGCTACGCCCTCGTGATATAATTCCTCGCATCCAGACTCCAAACAATGATTTTATTGAGCGATAAAATCACAGTTTGGGATATATTATTTGTTAAAGAAAGGTATATTTTCGAATAAAACACACCGGTAAACAGGTAATAAAATACTAACATTATGTCAGATGAAATCAATGTATCATTATACAAGATACAGTTACGGGACATTACTTGACTTATTATTAAAACCACTTTATTACATATTGATAATGTGTTAATATTTGTAAATACAACTAATATCTGTTTTCTAAAATTAAAGTTGTAATACATGAACATCATCAATTACTAATTAATATGATATCAACTGTTATTTTGTACTTACCTTTAGCATCTACATGTTCCCATTTGGATTGATATAACCATTTGCAGTAGTACTCCTGCTGAGGTGGCCATGTATGTAAAAGGTAAGTATCATCCAAGAGCTCAAAGTGGTAATTAACTTTTCCTGTAGTTTTTACTATGCATCTATCCAATAAGTCAGAGATAACTTCTGAAAGAACACGTTTTGATGAAGTATTATCATAATGATTATTGAAATTAAAAATCCAGACCCGTTTAAAATAAAACACATTTTTATATAACTAATAATTCTAACCAATCGACAATCTGCATTACCGTATTTGATCCAAAATATATATTATTCAATTTATTTTCATATACATTGTTACAACGCATAATTTGTTTAGGCAATTTTTTCTTGAACTCACAGTAAATGATAATCAATAAATACTGTAACGTCTAAAAAGTAATTGTTGCCGTTGTATCAGCCAAATCCTAAATACAATAAAACCATTCATGAATTGTTACCTTTTCTTCTAACATAATTTTGACAGGGTCACAAGGCTATTATCGATGATGGTGGTAGTGGTTGTGATTTTGGTGCTTATATTGGTGGTGTTGTTGATAGTGGTAGTGGTTTTGTTGTTGATAATGGTGGTGGTGTGGATGATGATATTTATGTTGGTTTTTATGGGGAGGGGTGATGATGGTGATATTTCAAATTAAACGAAAGATATATAATAAAAAATATATCGGCTTTCCGTTTATTCTTTTTGTTTGCCTATTGTCAGTTTTTTTATGATTTTTAAGCATTTGAAATACACAATTTAATTGCGATCCGACTTATATGACGTGCAACAGGGAAGAGAAAAATACATGTACCTGGATAAAGCTCTAAAAGCCGTCTAAAAGGTGAAGTAATTAAATTGTTGTCATTGCTTTCAAAAGGACTTCCAACTTCAGATGTTGAGTTTTGTAGAGGACGTTGTGTGTTTCTAAGAAGCTTTAAGAGGTAGAACATCTCTGTTTCCTTGATCAGGTACTGAACAATTTCCCTAAAATTATGAAATTAAAGGTCTTTGTTATAAGCTTGGTGCATCAACTAACCGGGTGGTTTTGAAAATATTTTGCGGAGGGAACTTTTTTCTTTGTAAATGTAAACTCCTGCAGAGGCCACGGTTACGGTTACTTAAATATAGCATGGAAGGCTGGGTTCAGGCGTCTATGAAATCCAATTTTTCAATACAGGAAAGTTTGTTCGGAACTTGTCTTGTTAATTAAATCATCGATATTTATCCGAGCAATATGATTGTAGAAAGAGAGATGACTCTGATAGGAGGAACAAAACAAAATTTGACTGAAAATATTAAATGCGAGTTACAAGTTAACGATGTGATTAATCAATTTCACCTCAATGTAATCTAAGAATTACATCTTTTAAAGTATTGTTTTTCTCGTTTAAAATGCAGAACAACTTCTGGAGAGCGATATTTATCAGGATATAAAATTGTGTTTGTTCCTTAGAGGTTTTAGTGGAAACATCCAATGTGAAGACTAACTTTGACTTTAGATATTAACAATACTGTCCTTGTTTCACGATAATTGCCTCACAGAGGGTCGGACAACATTGGATGAACTGTATGAAATACAAATGTGTTAACAGAAAATAAAAAACGTATATCACAGTTGTAATATGAGTTCTAAATTACTTACTTAGAAAGAAAAATAACAACATTTTCTAAAATAAAAGAAACTATAGTAGTAGCAAATACTACAAGTATAATGTTGTGTATAAAAACTTATTAGAAAATCAGTTTTCAAATACCTTTTACTTTCGTTAAGATTGTCCTCTAGTAATATAAGGTCAAGTATGTTATCCCCATAATTATTTGTAGATGTTGCTGCGTCGAGCCAAGTCTGTTCAAACGTTCTTGTATGACATCTGCATTTTTGAATGTCGGACCTTTTTCTGGTTTTACTTATTTTAATGGCCTCAAGGTTCTAAAAGAAGACAGTGCCAAAGTAATGATTTACATCTCGTCTACACAATTGTTACAAAATACAAAAAAATGTAATTGACCACAATACAAATTTCATATTTAAAAGATAAAAGCCATCAATTATATCATGTATCTTGTTTCAGTACAAAAGAAGTATTCTATCGTACCTTTCCTTGAGGAAATAATAATTTGAAAATTTTTGCCGTATTTTCTTCAGGACATGTTTTCAAACAAGCATTATGTAAAGCAGTATTCCCATCTACATCTCTGAAAATACATTGATTAGAGGTTTCATGTATACATTTTGACAGTCAGGATATTGAACAAATAATTGTACACAATTTAAATATATAGTTTAAGAGTAACATTCATCTTGAAACAAAAAAATGAGATTTTGGAAAGAAGCAGATCTCGATCTAACTATCCCAGTCTGTTTCAGTCATTCTTTACAATTCTGTAAATATTAACGTCTTTCCGAATTTTATTACTACAAAATTGAATTAGATTCGAATGAAATATATAGATAAACAAGATGACTATTTGAATAAATTAACAAATGCTACGATAAAAGGAAATAACACTATGAAAAGAAATTATAACAATGAACTAAGTAGTGATTCTTGTATTCTAGCGTTATGTTATAAGATTGATTAATAAACTAAAAATCCTGTAAGCTGAAAATATATGCAGTAAGTCACATTGAGAATAAGGATTCGGCAACAAAAGTAAAATTGTGAAAAACGAAATCCCTTAAAAGCGGAAATGAATATGTTGCAGGAACCTGTTCATGAACGGTACAAATAAATGCAAGTTACCGTCCATCGTTTTAAGCAGAATTCAACATTCAAACATAATAATGGTATAATTTTGTATTTAGAAAATCCGCAAATGTGCTCATACGACGGTTTTCATAAAACTGTCAATGTTAGTGCAATTCCATATAAAGCGGTGTATGTTCCTAAAATAATAGAATGCGTGTGCCCTAAAATGTTCATGGCAAGAATAAATCTTACTTGAATTCTAAACTAGCACCAGCTGACATTAAAAGCTTGACAGTTTCAACCTCACCCTTCCGTACAGCTTCATGTAAAGCTGTTCTTCTATTATCATCTCTTGAAAATATAAACAAATCATATAACATCAGTAATATTACCAATTAACAATTCTTTGAATTTTATTATGTGAATTTGGTAGATAAGTCCTTATCAACAATGTTACACCCAATGCAAGACAGTAAAATACGTCTATTCTTTACAAAGTTCATTCATGAAATGAAAAACAGAAATAAAGTATTTTTTAATTTTAATGTTTGTGTTTTGGAGAACGAAGAATAATTAATACTAATGTTCACATATAACATTGAATCTATAGACTATATTAAGTTATCCATTATGTTTTGAATTACCGTTTGTATTTTGGCATGTACTCACATATAGTTTACATCTGACTTTCCAGCGTTAATAATTCTTGTCAAATTATCAAGGTTTGTTGCACTTTCAGAGACATACTCGTATATTTTGCTGTCATCATCTTGTCTGTCCAATCAAATTATGGAATTATATGCAATACATTGTAATAATAGAATAACGTTTTTTCTGACCTTTTTTTACGTGAAACTTCAAGGTTTTGTAGGGTAACTTTACTTCAGCATATTATCATAATATGAATTTTGTTCGTAATATCACACTTTAACAGCATGTCCATACACATCTACTATAATATAGGAATTTTGTTAGAAATGTAAAAGAAAAGCAATTATGTAAGATTTCAATATAATGCTAATTAAACTTTCAATTGAATTAATCAAACCTGCAGCTGTGATGGGTATGTAAACATATGAAAGAAAATGATTTGAACGGCACAAATACCTTGCCCTTGCTGCCTTAGAAAGTATGACACTTTGGTTCATTTCCTGAAATATTTATTATTACTTTCTTTAATTATTATATTCAAAATAAAGACATTGACAATGGCAAATTGTTCGTAAAGAACGTTTTACCTCATTTAGGTAGACAAAATCAGAAGAATAAATACATTATTAAATGTAAGATCATATTCGTGCAAACATTTAGCAGTATAAGTCACAGTGAATAACAACAACAACAACAACAACAATAAACACTATATTGTCTGATATTCTATTTAATTTTTCAAAGTAAAATTAAATTTTAACTAGAAATGTGTCCCTAGTACACGGGTGCCCCACACTCCACTATTTTGTCAAGCTAATAACTTTAGGTCAAATATATTTTGGGCTACGCGCGACACAAATTGAAAATTGCTAACTTTTTAGTAAGTCAAAGGCTAAAAATCTTCAAATACTGAATACATAAACAAGCATACCCCCTGTGTATAACATGCTGACCAACATTCTTGTAAATTTTCAGGACTACAGGTAAAATACTTTTTAATCATGAACGTTGAAGTTGAAAGTTACAAATTTATACTAAGTTAACGGCAATAACTCTAACAAAACTGTTATGTGCACAACTTCGCATGCCGATCAACAATCCTGTAAAATTTCATGACTCTTGGTCAAATACCCTTTAATCTTTATACGACACAAATTGAAAAATGCCAATGTTACTTAGTCAAGGGCAATAACTCCAGTAAATCCGAGGTACACAACTTCACTTGTTGGCCAACATTTCTGATTTTATTGAACTCTAGCAGAAGCACCTGTAGAGCTACATGTTACATAACATGATAACGAACGGACGGACAATGGTAAATATAAATGCCACCCACTATAGTGGGTGAACACAAAACGTATATATAGCTTATAATTTAATATTCGATGTTGGAAACTGTGAGCATATACATTACCTTCAGTTCTGTTCCTTCATTTTCAGTTAGTAGTTTTGCTGTAGCCATCTGGAATAGTATTTCCAAATATAACAACACGTCCGTCACATAGCCGAGTACATTTTTCGAATCAAACATTAAATCTAATGCTTTATATATATTATACCAAAAAATAAATGCTTAAAAATAACGAACCGTTTAAATGGGACTGCATATTGTTGTCATCGAGTTATAGTGATAATAGTGGTTAAAATAGTAAACCGTGTCATAACAAGCCTCCCTCCTCCCCCAAATATTCGCTCAAGTTCGATAGCAGCAGGCGTTCAATACCTGCTGTTTAAGATGACGATTAACTCAAAGAGGATAACAACTGCTTTTTCATTTTAAAATTTCCAGAATCATTCAAAAGTCATTCGACATACAAAACAATTTTTATGATAATTTTCCTTGGACCGAAATTAACTTATACCATCTTTTAACACTCCAGCAAAATACAACAACAACATCAACAAAAAAAAAACAACAAAAAAACAAAAACAAAACAAAGATGAGTCAAAAACAGCAAAATATCACAATTCATGAAAGTATGCAAATGGTACGAATTTTGAGATGGTGAATATTGAAAATAAATGATTTCCAAAAATAGATTACACTCATGGTGCTTGACAATACAATATTTGTTTTCATTATGTTTTTATTTTTTGATATTATTGTTATCATTTTTATGAATTCTTATTATAGAAAGAAAAAAAAATGGTTTGCATAATGACCCGGATCTATAGTCTCGGATTTTGGGTAATCACGACTGCTTGTACAGACCGAAGTAATTAGTAAATGTTCAATGCTGTTACAAAGCTTGGCCGACAGTTTGTGTTCAACTTTTTTCTGCATCTTACATAATACATGTAAATTTATATAAAACGGAAAATAATTTTTTCAAACATTTTGATTTTTAGTAGCGCATGTGCAAAAACCTCATGGGAAAAATATTTTTATCAAGCACCGAGTCAAAAGTAACGTCCCATAGTGTGTCTATTTGACTTTTGAGAAGACTGAAATGAAACCGGATTATTTTGGAAACATTTCTGCCTACCAAAAAAGTAAATTATTTACATGTACTTTAATAAAGCAGATAATTTCATGTTTTAAAGCACTTTTATTTTATAGCATAATGCATTATGGTTTAACTTGAATAAATCATTGAAAAGAAGTTATAGATGTTTCCTATGGAAGCCTTGGAGGGTCACTTTTGAGTTTCGACTTACGAATATTTTACTTTTGTCTTTCGACTTTTGACTTTTGATTTGTGACTTACGTCTTATGACGTTTGGCTAACCCATTTTACACGTTCTTTAGAAGCTGAAAGCAGCAACTTTGGTTTCAGGTATGTTTTTTAAACGTTTTAAATAATTTCATCGAGATTTGTCATGGAGGAGAGGATGTGTTAAGGAGGGAATTTAATGTTATTTGATATAATCCCATAGTGGTTATATATCACAGACTTTAATTCCACAAGTGTGACTGTGTGTTTTGTTATAAATATGTTCATTACATTAGTGCTTATACATTGTTTGTCCTTATCACAAAATCTGTCCATGAGTAACAAACAAATAACTGTTTTACAAGTAGAAAGGAAATACAAGTTTTACGTCTTAAAATGGCATGGTGCACAGTATTAAACATGTATCGCAATTCAGCATTTTATTGAGCTAACACAGAATCGGTATTTCTCTAAAGTACTTAGATAGTTTTGACCAATTTCATAAAGAACGACAAGTGCTATGTTCATACACACAAGTACAAAGTTAACTTATAATTGTTATCGAGCACCATTTGAAATTAGCATTAAAGGGACTCCACTGAAGTTTTTTTGTCATGACGGGACTGGAAATATATTTTTGAGATTATTACTCTATTTGATGTAGATCTATACTAATAACTTATGTGCCACATTTCAGATCATTAACTCGCTCCGTTTTTCCATAATAATTATTATAATGGTGAAAAATAACCCACAATTGAAAAGCGTTTAAACGCTTTTCACTCAAATCAGACAGAGAATAGCACAAACATACGATTTTCAATGTATTTCATGTAAATTTCTTAGTTATATTTTATTTATATTTCTGTTTTAAGTGATTGTGTTGATCTATGCGAAAAATTAAAATTTTATGTTTTAGGCTTAATAACCTCAGTGGAGTTCCTTTAATGTCTAATTTTGCTGTATGTTTCAACAATGCAGAAAAGAACACTTAAGAACAAACATAGATATAGGACCAGTTAGAACAAAATATCCTACTAGCATTTAAATGTTATACTTTTTTTCGCACCTATCAATCTTTAAAAGACCGAGCTAAGAGATTTACCCATTTTATATACTATGACTGTATAAAGATTAAGATAAAAGATAAATTCTTATTTCAGACACAACTACTGGACAAAGGTTACGAGGATGAAAACCTTGATGTTGATCTGTGTCTTCATCATTATACTGTTCGGCATTACCAAAGCTACCGTACCAAGATGCCTACCCTCAACATTTATAACAAACAAAACTCTGCTGATAATAGAGAACTTTCTGGTACGGTGTGGCATCACGACGTCATTTAGTACAGAGAACAGAATTTTCAAACGCTTAAATTTAAAACGGCATAATGGAATATATAATCCTTTTGAGACTGTGTCTGATGTTATAAACAGAGAAATACAAACAAGTGGACAATGCATAGGATACCGTACAATGTGGCGTAGGTTAATGCTGGATTACAACATGTACGTCAAGGGGGACGACGTCATGGAAATAATGAGAGCGCTTGATCCAGATGGTATTGAGATGCGGAAAGCTCATCGCTTCTGCCGACGCGTATACTACGCCAAAGGACTAGTTTAATATGACATATGGACGGTTAAGACAAACTAAAACCAAAAGGATTTTGTATCCATGGTGCTGTAGAAAAAAATATGGTTAGAGGTTTCGGACTCAAATAACGACCCACACCTTATTGCAAGATACTTTTAGACACATTTAATGAACATTATTAAGTCCCCCCAACCCAATACTATATACGTTGTGATATTGGTACGGAAAACTGCATTGCTTTACTATTGCAGCAATACTTCAGACACGATTCTACAGATCCGATTGCTGGTACTCGAAGCGTTGTAGTTGGAAAAAGCACATCTAACCAACGCATTGAGAAGTGGTGGTGTACATTACGACAAAATGGAATCTATTGGTGGATTATTTTTTTCAAAGACTTACGCGATACATGTGTATTTAATGATCTGGACCCGATACAATATGGGAACTTAAATTTTTGGTCCATGGACCTCATACAAACCGAGTTAGACCGGATTGCACATGAAATAAGGCAACTAACCAGTTCTTCTGTTATTTGTGGTAAACCTGAACCAGGTCTGTATGAAACTCACGACTTCGGCTATGCAGTTAACTTGAGAGGCGTGTTTGCAAAGAACATGTATTCACGCCCAAAAAGACAATGTGAGGAATTCGTAGAATTAGCACCCCTTCTGAAGCTAGACCTACAGATGCCATGGGACGCTGATTCAGCACTACAACTGTGTACCGAGTTGAACGATTTACTTTTGAAAATAGATTTATTATAAATACGCTTTGAAACGTCTAATACTGATTTTTATACGTGTTATTGATATATACTAGGTTACTTTAGGTTAAGTTTCAAAAAATGATGTTTTAAAATCATAAAGACGATAGTCTACGATTTCACTTCATTATATGGTTGTTTTAAGATATTGGTTTGTAAATATTGAGCAAATTACAATATATTTGTAAATTATCATTTAAGTTATAACCACTTTAATTTGCACTGTAAGGGATTGTAAAGTTGACAACATTGTTGAGTGGTATACCTAAAGGACACCTGTATGCAAAATTTAAGCAAAATTTACCGTACGGATTTGGAGTTGTAGGCATTATTATGAGTCAGAACATATACATTAAAAAGGCACATGTATTGAAAGTCTAATTTTAACTTTAATTTAACATTGTTGTTTTCTTTATCGTATTGATGTTTTTAAATGATAATCAAAAACAGAGATATTGTTTAAAATATGTTTTAATAAATTAGGAATCAAACGTTCTACCTCTGTAATCCGCCCACTAAGCTACCTGTTTAGGAATAACTGTTGCTTAACGATAAGATATTTTTTGTCAACAGTTTGGGCTGTTACTTGAAATTAATTATAGCTGTCATATGCTGCTGTACAGATCTTAATATCCGTTCCCAGGAGACTCGCCAATCGGAAGGTTCCCGAAGGACGGATATTCCAATCCGATTGGAAATTTATGTCCTTACACCCGTAACTATTTTCGTACAGTAACGTATGAAATTACAACTTCATTCACAACGGCGAAATAACGTCATTCAAAGCATGCCATTGTATAGCACGCGACTCATCTGGCACCCCCATGACAGATGAAATATCCGGCATGGGTAAAATTAACGGAAATACCAGTCTGATATGCAAGAAATACTCTGTCAAATCATTGTAATAGTTTATGTTTATAACTGAAAGTCTGGGTTTCTATTTAGTGATATAAATCCCATAGTATTCAGATTATATCACTCATAGTGTTGTTAACATAGCTTTGCCGATTTTTGTGGCCTACGTATTAAGTTATGATTCCTAAGTTTCCCTATAAACGTATTGTGTTTTCTTTTTTCTTTAAAAACATTTTTCTCGTTTAAATTTGACAATTACTCCCACTAAAGTTTTTTTTTTTCCCCCCAATTTAAATGACATTATTCCCCCTGTTAAATTCTTTTTTTTAAAAATAAAAAACTGCCCCTAAAACTTTTTTTTAACCCCTTTTGACAGCCCTTTGCTCAATCGATTTTAAGTTTTCCGTAAGAAAGAAAATTTCAAGGAAATTTTTTAAATTGAAAAATTTAAAATTTTCATCTTTAAAAAATTAAATTTAAAATTTTTTGTGACAGGGGAACACTTTCAGGGGCTTATTTAATTTTTAAGAAATTAAAGAAAAAATTTCCCTTTTTAGTCTTTCGATTTTTAAAATTTTTTTTCCCAAATTTGTCAAGTTTTTTTTTCCCAAGTATTTCCCCCTTTAATCATTTTACATGTATAAAGAAACTTTGTGGGGGCCTGAACCATTATATAAATCAGCATAAACACTTTAATGTCAATAGAATAAGAGAGCTATTACATTACGTTGGTATCATTGTTAAACTTAACGGACATAAAATAATAAGAGTATATTAATTAAGAGACCATTGTTCTAGTAAGTGAATGTGAGTAAGACACTTGAAGTTGTTGAAATACATTCCTGCTTTATATAAAATTAAATGGAAGAAAATAAACCGAAATAATTTTGTCTTGTTTTATAATAATTATTGCAATAGCAGTTTTGGTCTCTGAGAATATGGCATCGTAAATTGTTGAAAGAAGCCGGAAATGGATGATAATCAGGTAAAACTGAATGAAAATTGAGTGATTCAGACTAAATCGGATAATTGCAGTAATTTGCAGCTACGTGTTGAATGACCCCGAAAAACATAGTATTGAGATATTGAAACCATTAAATTCTTTAAGATTCCATTATTAAACATAATGTTATGATATCGTTAAAGCAGCATACCTCAAGATCCATGCTTATTTTCATAACAATTCGGAAAAAATGTATTTAAAAGTACAATATTGTGAAGTGAACAAAGGTAGCAGTTTACACTTACAATCTACGTAAAATAGCCCCTACTGTATTATATTGTTTGATTGCAATCAGATGACCTTGTATCGACCATTATTCCAGAACAATTTCTCGTAAAGAAGACAAATATTACCGAAGTTTGACTGAGCATTCAGATTTTCTTCACCATATTTCTAATGCGTTACTAACACAGCAAGGGCTATTTTTTTATATATCTAAAATGTTCATGAAAATTAGAGCAAAAATCTTGAGCGTGCTGCTTTGGGGATATGATATCACAGTTACGCAGTATTTAAATTGTATGTTTATATCATGTCTTGGAAATAAGATGATCTAATTTTTTATTTATTCCTCCAATTTTTTGAAACATTAATGTTGTACGGTATTTCTGTGCATAGTATCTCGTGGCCATGACTACTGGAATGTTTGGGCTATTTTATCAAGGCAAGTAGACTGTTCCAGGTTTGATGACGCCTTGAGCCTTTCTTATTTTTTTACATAAAAAATGACAATTGATATTAATAAGCAGATTGAAACTTCCTAAATACACACACATGCTGACTTCTGTCTAGTAAGTGCAGTAGGTTAGTGTATTTGAAAATGTATACGCTTATAACCATACAGTCATAGGATCGGATTAAAAACTATTAAAAGTTGGTGTTACTTTTCAAATGCTTACAAGTGCGTGAGATGGGTAACTTTTGTAAACTGTTTGATGTGCACTATGATAAGACGCTAGTAATAAATACATGATATTTAATGTAAAACAGTGTCCTTGATAGGATTCTACTACAAAATTACTTTTAAAACTTTTAAAATTAGCAATCGACGTTACAGGAATATATTTTTTTGTAAAATTAAGGACTGCATGCGGTTATACATTGGCCAATAATAATAATTCGTACAAGGCTTAAGTGAGACGAAAAGAATTTTTTAATTAAATTGCACTCCCTTATTTCAAGTGTATTATTTCCTGCTCCGATGGCATTGTTTCCGTTAAAGTGTTTATACATAATGTGTTAACAAAAATACATGTTAAATAGAATAGTGAAACGTCTGTTGCTTCTTATTTGTATTTCCTAACATGCATGCTTATTGTTTAAGCAGAGGTTGTGGATCTAAAAAATTCAAGATAACATTTTGCCATAATAGTATTTTATTTTATATTAAATAATCCATAGTATATACCATCCACGTGAAATTTAGAACGAAATGCATCGATAACGTTCAAGATACAAAATGACCGCAGAGTATTTTTTTAACATCTTTTTTTTTCATTATAATTTTTTATTAATATTAAAGCATAAGTATTTTAGTATGTATAGTTGGTCTATCATAATTATGATAGTCATTCTCTCGAAATATATTACTTATTATATACAACTTGACAGAGAAAAATGAACATAATGTAACCTTAGTTTGTTGTTATATTAATATAATTTTTACATTATGCATACGGCTGTGTGCGACGAGTTCAATGTACATCTAAATCCAAACTTTGATACGCAAACGCAACATTCGCCTTAAAATTGCATTCTAATAAATTTCCTTGATGGTTTAACGGAAGGTTTTGTTTACATGTCTTTCAGATACTATTGTCGTTAACTATCCTTTGCGAAGCACGGAGAGATAAAAAGATAATATTGCAAAGTGAAGTTAAATATATCGGACGATCACGTGATACAAGTAAGAAACAACGATTATATGTAAATAAACCATGACAAAAACATACTAACCGTTTCTTTATTTGACATCCGAAATATCAAGTATATAATGCAATACAACACACCACAAAGTTTATCAAATGAATAATATGAAGAAGAAAAAAGTATTGTATCCTTTTCTATTCGAAATAAGTGTTAAGAAACAATCACAAAGGGAAGTAAAGTATATCCTTTTAAGTATATTCAAGATGCTCGTGAAAGATAAAGCCACCTACGTTTACAAAAAGTGTTATCATTCAGATCATCAGCGATTAAAAAAATGTTGTACCTAAAACAATTGAGTCTCAATCAATTCCTTGAATAACTTGTTGAAATTGTAACAATTACAACAATTGTATCTACATGTACTTCTTAGAATTTTCCGTGAATATAACAATACAAAAAGGGATTTTCCGAAGTAGACTACAAGTGGAATGATTGGTTAGACATAACAATATCAAACGGAACAAAATGCAGATATAAAGTGGCAAACCAATGCACCAGTATGGGGTCCAATCTGAAGCATAAAGATGGACACGTGTCATCCAATTGCCTGTAATTTGCACGTGTTAAAAAATAAAGCTCGCTGTTTGTTATCGCGTGCCGACATATAAGATTTTACGTGCGCACTTAATTTAATAAATCGTAATTTAAGTATTTAAACGTATCATGCTTTTATTAAACGTCAGCAACAGATCGATTCACTGTAGATTTGCCAATTTACATGTAGATATATCTATAACATAATTCTAGGTTAATGCTTACTAAGACAAAATGTTTTGTAAAAATAAATTGCTTTACATTATAAATAGTAAAACCGGCTTTTGATATTTAACCTTTCCGTCAAGGGTTAACTCATCTAAAATGAAAACAATGACTCGATAAAATATATATAGATATATCTTTATCATTTAATAAGACTACTTTAATCTTTTTGGTCAAACAAAATGCTTTATGGTGTATGCATAATATTTAGTACATTGATGATAACCTAGTCATAGATACCTTTAAAAAATGGTTCCGTTGATGGAGACTCCTAATCTTTCTGTTTATAATGCCGTTGTTTATGTACAGATCACCATCATGTGCTCTATATTTTCGTTTTTCGATGGGGCATTTATGTGTTGGTGAATGTATCATATTTAGCACTATGTATCATTTGTGGATAGCGCCCCTTTCCAAGAAAGAGCAAAATCCTTAAATGATATCAACATATTATCTAGGAGCATCCAACCTCGTTAACCATATTATTATTATATAGAAATTTATATGTTTTGTCGTATTGCAATATTTACATTATTCTGCCTCTCCCAAGCGAGATGTCATGTGAAACCACTCTTCGTTTAATATTGTTCCCTGAAGCTCTTTGATTTGGTAATTTTATATGACACAGTGAATCAGCTTAAAGTGTATGAGCTTCTTTCCCATTTACCAAAGAATTATTTCCCGTGAATACACATGCCATCTCGACTTCTTGTCACGTATTGCCATGTTTCTATTTTTTGTATGTATATATATTGATGCTTTGTCAATGGCTCTTTTTAGGGCTTTAGAACAAATAAAAGTTCTTCTTCTTTTATGAAAGTGTAATTATGATTAAGAAAAATACAAATGAAAATGTATAGGATAGTACCAAATACATGGTGTAATGTCAATATTTGTTTAAATATGAGGTAAAGGGTTAAAGGTTGACGTACTTGTGTCAGGGTAGTTGCTTTTGTACAATAACTGTTTGCATCTCATATCAGAAAAAAATTGTCTGTTGAAATTACCGAATTGCTTTAATAAAATTTGGAAAAAAAAAGATGCCGGTATAATATCGTTACAAACGTTATTCCTATGAATCGAAAATTATGTCAGCTGACTTTGAAAATAATGCATGGCAAATTATCGCTGTGAAGTTAAATGTAACTAATCAAAGTTTGAACTGTAATTGTTTCATTACAATTTAAAAATCATAAACGTCCGTCGTAAAAGGAAGTATTTTACAAAGACTGTTATCGAATTCAATGACAAACAAGAGCTGTGCGTTAGACAGCGCGCTCTACTATTGTGAAACCATGCCTGTAAGTGGAAATGATGATCACTAAAAATCATTAAGTGATTCAAAGCAATAACTCAGAAGTAAGTACGGTGGTACGAAAAAATTAACCAACTTTGAGTAGGATAGTTCTTTTATTTTTTTAAAGAATAAGACTAAATCAGTCTAATCTGTATATAAGCGATCGGGTCTCATCAATACGAAACTCCGTATGAGACATTTTTACTTAATCAATTCAAATGTATGAGTTCAGAAGTTTAAAATCTCTTCATATAAATGTTAATTCACGATTTAATGATTTAAGCTTCAATCAGAAAAACTTCACGAGTTTAACGATTCCAACTTCATGAATTCAACCACTTGGGTTTATTGTTTAAACTTATCGGGTGTATCTTCTATAATTCCAAGTTAAAGCCTAAATAATGAACGAAATCAACTGTGCGAAGTCAACTTTAAACAGTGCATTTGCAAGAATTCAACATCAACAACACGCTTTTAGCTCAACAATTACATTTTCATGAATTTACGATTTCAAGTACATGAATACACAATTTCAGCTTGATGAATTCAATCTCATGAAATCACAAATTCAAATTACATATTCACGACTTCAACTTCATTAATTCAACATCACGTGAAAACTTCTGACCATAGCTTCAGAAATTAAATATTTCATCTTCCCGATTTCAGCCTCACGATGAATTCAACTTCATGAATTAAACTTAACAAACTCAACATCACAGATCAATAGTCTTGAATTCACAAATAAAACATCATTAATTAAATTTCATGAATTCAAGATTAAAATGCCACTATTTTACTACATGAACTCAATGTATTTAGTCCTAGATTTGAACTTTACCAATTCATGAGTTGAAATTTTGAACTCATTTATTTAAAAAATGAATCTTTGAAGCTTAAGTTGAAACCGTTACTTAGGCGCATGCTCGAAAATGGCGGACGTATATTTTCAAATGTTTGCAATAGTTAGAAAAATCGGTGATTAGAACATATATATGGATATATAACTTTTTTATTACATTACTGGCATCTTAACTCATCTGTTTCATATATAATACGGACTTATATTGGTTTCTAATGACAAGAAAACGTAAAAAGGAAATATTTCTCGATTGAACGATAACAAAGATTCAAAGAGAAAGATGGGGGCAAACACTCAACAAAACTTTCAGTCTCCGAATCTTCAACAAGCAGCTTCTGTCAGTCTTTTATGCTGCCGCCTCTGTATCATCCATCACCCCCTTTTGTAACAAATCAAACATCACCTATATTATCTCAGCAAAATGTAAACAATTTAAATACGGACATTTTACAGGGGATTATACAACGTTTCGACGATATGGACACTAAACTAGGCAAATAGAATAAAATTCAACCAACTGTCGAGAAAATAACGGAACGCTAAAACAACCTTGATCAAAAGTTGAACGCTTTGATAAGCGAACAGTATGATAGTGTAACGACACGTTCTATCGAAAATAAAGGTGATATTTCTCAATTAAGTGGTGATGTCAAATTTTTGACTGCTGAAATGAAAAATTAAAGTCGGCAAACTATTCTTGTAACGAAAATATTATTGATTTGAAATGTCGCTCGATGCGAAATAATCTCCTGTTCTTTGATGTTGCAGAGGGTACTACGTTCAATCCCGCTCCTCTTGGCTGTGTTCAGTCAACCGTGACGGATTCTACGGGTGACACGGACAAAACTTCTACTAACCAGACTTCCCCAATCTCGAATTCTGATGATTTCCATAATCCTGCTGGACATGGTAGCATTAGTGCACCAGCCTTATTTTCTTCTGTCGTAAAAAGCGATCATGAAAATTGTGTAGCAAAGGTATTCACTTCCTGTGATAAAATCCTGCGCATTAATGATACTCGCTCTAAGATTAACAAAATATGATCCTCGCTCTAAGATAAACAAAATATGTGCACGTTATAAGTGATTTTATTGTACATGATTTATATACCTGCTCTAGTCTTTTATCTATACAGCCAAACAAATGTTGTAACAGTGATCTAACATTGAAAAATGTAAACAAAATAAATATTGATAAAATTATTTGGAATGATGATAGAAGCTACGAATATTAATCTTTGATAGAAAATGAAGATACAAATCTTGAGTCAATCGTAAATAGCATAATTTCAGATGATACCAATATTAATACGGGTGTAGATAAATTTTCATCTATTCTTTATGAAAAAGCGTATAACGATTTTGGAAGGTCATTCAATGTATCTAGGTCAAATAACCGTAAGTTTAAGAGTCCTTGGTACACGAAGGAATGTGAAACGGCTAGACGTGAGCTTTGCTCAGTAAATAAGCATTATAAATACAATAGAACCAATTGTAACGGCGCACTGTTCATTGAAAAGCGTCGTAAATATCGATTGGCTAAGTGCAGGGCACGTGCGACATTAAAAAGCCAACCGATGACAACAATTACATTCTTTGGCGTCTATTCAGCCCCAAAAGTTTTGGAAAGAAATTAAAAAATTTAAATCAAAAACGCCAAAAGGTAGAAATATAAGTAAAGACGAATTTTTCAATCACTTCAAAAATGCTTTTTTCTGATGACAACGAATTTATATATGATGATGCTAAAATTTTAATAAACAGTGATGTTAGTATCAATGTGGACCAACTCGATATTTTGTTTAGCCTTGAAGAGTGGTAAAAGCGGTGGAACCCCGAGATGTTTATTGCACCGTTATTATGCAAACTATTTAATTTTATGTTTAATCATTGTATTTATCCAGATAGTTGAACTAAAGATGTTATTGTTCCTGTCCCCCAAAAAGGTGAACTTAATAATGTCAATAATTATAGAGGTATAACATTAAGTAGTATTTTTCAAAAATCTGTTCAACTTTATTAGATTATGGGCCGACGACTATAATATGTTAAAGTTACATTTAATAAATTTCATAAAAAACTAAATAGCGACATTTCATTAACAAATCGGGTTTTATATCGACTCCATGTCTTATTTTGGTGTCCAGACAACCAAAATGAGTTTTATTAGCATTAAAATGGGTAACCTCTTTTGGCGAAATGGGAAGTACAATTTCTGTTTGCATGAGAAACTCCGCCTTCGGATCATCCGTATATCAATATTAAACAAGTAGAAAATTGCTGGGAAATGCAGCAATATGATTGTCACGGCGAAAAACACCCCCCCCCCCACACACACACACACACAAAACAACAACAAAAAACAGTTAAATATATTGATAAGGTTTCTCCAAATAGCATTGTGTTGAATTGACATGTTAACTTGTTCACAAGGGTTTT